TGTCAGACTTTTACAATAAATGAATTTCTCAACCAGATCAGACAAATGATTTTGATCTAATTAATAGTTTATAAATGTATGCACTTAGACCCCAGCAGGACTAATGTTGTTGTTGTTGTTGTAGTTGTAGTAAATAAGGGAGTGAAAGAACAGAGCTTTTATTTTGATTGTTATATTTATTAATTAATGTTATTATTAATTTATTTCATTTGACCAGGATAGTCCCACTGACAAGAGAACCCTGGTCCCAGAGATATTTTTTGTTACAGGGAAAGCTGATGGCATTAAACGTGTGTATCTCCACTGTGACAAACAAGTGATGGCACCAGGCCAAGTTACAGGTCAGATCTGTGGAGTGGCAAGCCCGCTCAGAGTAAGAATGCATGTTTGTCAGGGGATTTTGAACAATTCTGGGGCAAAATAATAACATGTATGAAGTCAGCTCAGTGACGTACATACAGTATTTGTAAGCACTGTTTTTTCAGGTGGATGTCTTTAAACGTATTTATCTCCATGACGACAAACAGGTGATGATACCAGGTCAACTTAGGTCTACAGGTCAGATCTGCAGAGGCGACGCAGCTCACACAAATGCATGTTTAGTTTCTTTTTTTTCTTTGCATTTAAACATCTGTAATTGAAGGTGCTTTTCTGCTGGAGGATTCGTCAGATGTTTTTCTGTATGGAGATATTATTGCTGTGTCTGAAATATTTCACAGTATGGCTTTAAACCTTTCTATCTTCATGGAGACCAAACCTGACCAAGTTGCACTTCAGATCTGTGGAGAGGCGACGCTCACAGTCAGAATGTCTGTTTTTTACTGACTATAAAACCACCTGTACTTTAATGTGTGAAAGGTAGAGCTGTTTAATGTCACACTGTGGAACATTCCAGGCAGAGCAATGACAACTAGGGATGTAACAATAACTGAAATATTGTGATATCGTATCGTCAGAGTTCTCACAATAACATCGTGGACCATCACAATATATCAAATCACAAGTCTCTTTGCTTAAATGAAGAGTTCTGGTGCAGCAACAGCTAAAAAAAGACAGAGGGAACTACATAGACCATGATCCTTTGCTCCATTTCAGTGTAGACTATAATAGATAATAGAAATAACAGTTGTAACACTTTTAAGTCTTAGTTCTTTGGATTAAATCTTGTCAAGGCATTTTAAGAGGAAAAAGTAGCATTAACAGTTTTGTTAGTCTCCACAAAATATCACAATAAATATGGTACCGTGAGATCTACATTGTGAAAATATTGTATTGAGAGATTTGGATATTGTTACATTCCTAATCGTGAGCCTCCCCACCATATCGTGAGCTTTTCCCACAATATCGCAATAAATATGTGACAGAGACAGAATCAAGCAGGTGACAGTCCCCCAACCAAACAGTTGCATAGTGCACTTTTAAATAAATGTATTTTTAATGCTATATGACACAAAACTATAACATGTCTATAAATGTAAGCAGGCCTCTCGGTGTTTCTCTTTTTGACACATTACAAAAGGAGCGTACTGAGTCGGGCCTCTTCCTGTGACAGTGTTATAGTGAAAGGAAGTGTGATTATTGTCCTCCAGGTTTGTGCTTCTCTTCTGACTCTTCACTGGCACCACTCACTCTGCTTTCAGTATTCTAAGTTGTCTCTTCTTCCACATGTTTGCACGTCATGTCGAAGAACGCAATACACATTTTGTTCCCCTGTGATCAATCTAATTACGAACAAAAACAAGACACGTTTTGAATCAGTGCCAGCTAACAGAGGAGGTGTCTTCATTAAAAAGCCCCCCCCCCCCCTTTTTTTTCTTTTTTTTTTTTTTTCTTGTTCAGTAATTCCACTCATTGCCGGAAACTAAACCAGGTCTAAACCAGGTCTAAACCAGGTCTAAACCAGGTCTAAACCAGGTCTAAACCAGGTCTAAAACCAGGTCTAAACTAGATCTAAACTAGATCTAAACCAGGTCTAAAACAGGTTTAAACCAGGGCTAAACCAGAGCTAAAACAGGTCTAAAAACAGGATTAAACCAGGACTAAACCATGCTGGGCGGACGTGTCTCCTCGTCTTCTATCAATAATATCTTTAATACAGTTAAGTAAAGACTGGGCTTTTTATTTTCTTTTAGCAGACTAAACATCTTATGCTACAATATCCTCATCTTTCAAGTCAATAATCAAGTAATCCAAAGTATTCAGATTACGTTACTCACTTTAAGTAATTTAATGGATTACGTTACAAACTACATTCTGGAGTATGTAATCTGTAATCTGTAGGGGAATACATTTTAAAAGTCACCTTCCCAACACTGCAAACCACGAAGACGTTTGGAAACATGCCATGACAACTTCCTTTGGGCTCTGTTCACGGTAGTAAGTCTGATAAAATCTCAGAAAATGTAGAAAATGTTTCAGTGTCCCATGTCATTGTGGTGTCGTTACATTCGGCTCATCAACAATTCCAACCATCCCTCAGTGTTCATCATTTCTCCACTGACACATGAGCACACTGGTACATGTGATTAGAAGAGATGAGGCGTCAAACTCCAGATGATTCCAAACAGCACACACGTCTGCAGTCTTCATTTTACCTCTGATCACATTTACTTCAGTGGGTTTGATCACAGTCGGTCGGTGAGTCCAGACGTCTTCCTGGTTTGTGACGTAAGCATGAATAGAGTCTATAGAAAAGACTGGATCTCAGATAAAATGTAATTAATCGCACAGGCCTATAACTCACAGACGAGTCAAGTATAAGTGATCATTTGATATTTGATACAACACTCAGTAATGTTAATGTTCTGACTCACACACAGGCCACAGTGTCATGGTGTTCATTTTCATTGAGTTATTTGATTTTCCTTAATCCGGTTTTATTTTGTAATTTCTCCAGTCGTGTGTGTTTTGAGTATTAGTTGTTTGTTTTTACCCTGTGTTCTCCTCAGTGTCCCATCTGTTTGGATTTTTTGTGTTTGCTTGTTCTTCTGCTTTTTATTAAGTTTAAATTAGACAACTTTGCAAGTACAGTCCTGCATTTTGTTTTTTTTCTGTTCTAAACATGACACAGAGATGTGTGAAGAATCCCTCAATTGTCCAGGTAGAATCCACGACGAGGAGAAAATTCAGTTAGTCGACTGGACAAAAGTTAGTTTGGTTGGATGAGCTGAGAAACGTCTTCAACCAAACTCACCTTTTGTCCAGTCGACAAACTGAATTTTCTCCTCGCCGTGACACAGAGATGTATATATTAGGCCAAATGATGTATTTTTAATCATAATACTTTGCACAACGTTGGTGGGGTTCTACATGTATGTCTATGGTGGAATGTTCAGCAGTTACCATGGTGACACAACGCACACATTAGCAAACACTGTCAAAACTGTTTGAAGACAGTCTAAACAACAAAATTCCTGTATTTTGGTGAGAGCGACTAACTGAAAAACTGGGACTGTATGTTTCAAGCTCAGCTGTTGTAGTTGAGTTAAATCAGTTCTTTGCAGTCAGATTGTGTTGAAACAAAACTCAGATTAAATTCCAGAATGGCGGCAGCTGGAGGCAAAAGTCAAATGGAACGTAACGTGATTTCAGTGGGGAAACCAGGATTGATCACAGAAGATCCCAAAATATGAAAAATCAAGGGAAATATCAGAGCCCAGTTTAAAAATGACTTTCACCTTATCTGTGAAAATAACAAGAGATTATGACAAACACTGAGCATTTATGACAAAAGAAAAATTAATATTTGTAGGTTTTACTAGACAAATCCTCACAGACATTTTGAGCCCACTACAGTTTGTCACTTCATCTACAGATATATATTACACATTTCATCAATTATACTTTTGTGAAGCTCATAAAATGCGAGTAAAAAACATTCAGAGTTTAGATGTGCTCCTCAGCCTATCTCACTCTACTTTCTCATCTATGTTATAATGTTGTTTCTTCATCCCAAACACACCTGGAGTTGTGTTTTGTTTCATTCCCACATGTTTAACCCACAAACCTGCACATTTTGGCTGAGTTCTTCTCTCAAACTGAAAACACTCAGTTCCACCTTGTGATGTCATGTGGTGATACAGGAAGTGCTTCACTAGAATCATTTGGATCATTTCAGTGCTGAAATCTCTACAGTCTTTACTTAACGGTAAAAAGGAGCTGTTAACTTGAAAACTATTGCCTCATGACATCACAAGGTGGAACAGAGCATTTGGAGCTTTAGATATGTAAACAGACAAATAATAAAAGATTACTCAATAACTCCAGGTCTGTTTTTGATGAGGTAACAGCATTACATCATGGTTTAAAGATCACAAGAGTCAATTTAATGTAATACAGGACCTTTCACCTGGTGCACAAATGTAACACATAAACTAAGGCCTGCGGGCCGACTCCGGCCTGCCACACCCCTTTGACGGGCCCCCAGCCCCTCTGCCCCCCACCACTGGCCCTATGAGGCAATCCTCAAAAGTGTCATGGCCTTTTTTTTTTTTTTTATTACTTTTTGGCAAATAACAACATGTCTGCATCTTGTGTTTTGTTGATTTTTTTCAATAAAAAAATTATATTTATATGAATTTGTCATCATCATGTGACAAGCTCGAGATCAAACAGTGACAGTCCACCCACGCACAGAGATCTGTAGTGGAGATAAGGACAGAAGGACCATGGAGGACACAAGGACAGCAGGACTGTAGTGCAGTCCAGGACTAGCTAAGGACACTAGGAACAATAAACAAATCTGTGTCAGGAGTGATGTGTTGATACAGTACTGTAAAGACTGTGCCAGGCGAGTGTGTGTGTGTGTGTGTGTGTGTGTGTGTGTGTGTGTGTGTGTGTGTGTGTGTGTGTATGTGTGTGTGTTGTGTGTGTGTGTTGTGTGTGTGGTTTCTTGTAAAATGCTCTGAGTGCCATAAAGATGGGAAAGCACCATATAAAAATGTGACCATTTACCAATAAAGAGTTACTCAAACATTTTGTATGTGAATGAAACAAAACACACTGTGTTTTTGAAGAAGGAGCAACATTCTGACATGACTAAAAGCTCACAAGAGTCCATTCTGTGTAATATAGGTGTTGCTCAAATTGCAAAAACAAATTTGACAACAATAACATGACTTTTTTTACGTTTCTCTGTCCAGCATTTAAATCTTACAAAGGTCACTTGATCGTGGCCGATGTGAGACCTGCATGTTTTAATCAGGTTGAGGAAACATGACTTTATTCTAATCTGTGGTGAGGCTCCTCCCTCTGGAATTCTCCTCCTCAAAACCTTTGGAGGGAAAATTCTAATGGAACAGGACACAGGACAGATACAAGAGCAGAGGACACACAGTGTGGAGCAGGAGGATTATGAGAGCTGATCTGGAGGTGAGACTTTTTAAAGATTTCATTATATGCTTCTCCGGCCTAGAATTGTTAAAACATGTTTGTGGTGTTTTATTTGAAATTAGAGTTAATGTAAGGACTGTTTCCATGAAACACATTGTATTTGACAGTCCATCTACAAGAGTGTGACAGTTGTACTCAGATGTGAATGTGTTTGTTCCAGAGTCGTCTACAAACACAGAGTGACGTCCAGAGCTCTGCTGGAGCTGTGGGGAAGTTCATGAATGTTATAGTTGATGTTTCAGGAAAAAGGAAGATGTTTGAGAACCAACAAAACACAGATGAACAAAGTAAGTAAACCAACTCAAATGATTTTAAAAGAATTTTTCAAAATGAACTTCCTACTGAAACAGTTTTCGTGTTTCTACAGGGTGATGTGGCATTAGGAGGACTTTATACCAGATGCCCTACCTGTTACTGCATTTAGAGGAAGAAAAGCAGCACACAGTGAGTTTTGTTTCTGCAGATACAGTTCTAATGTTCTTGTGATTCTGTTCTGGTCCATTATTGTCGTAATAAGTGCTTTAAGTGTATTTAAACATGTACAACAGAGTAAATGATCAGAATGTGATCATCATGTGTTATTCTGTGTCCACAGAGACCAGAGCTTCTTCACTGGAATAAATCTTCACACTGTCCAGCTCCAAACTGTGTGTCTCTGTACTTGTGCTCTCTGTGTGTTTGATTCTGTTTAAGACAATACAGAACTGTGGAAAACTAAACTTTTACAGAATTAGATCAATTCAGTTCAATGATACATACTTATACATTTCACGATAAGGTAACATAAGATAAATATACATATTCAGCATGATTTGATCAAATTTTATCAGCATGAAAAAGTGACGTTCAAACCTAAACATAATTTTATTGCGTGCAACCATTTTCCATAACGTTTTTACGCAAACAACCTTTTGTTTTCAGTGTAGGAGGGTAAAAGGGTCAGTAGTTGGGCATATTTGTAATGCAGCTCAGTGTTCTCATGGATGACTGTCTATCACCTGAAGAGTAACAGAATAAAGCCCTTTACCACAGACCACTAAAGTCTGCTGCTCTCATGTTGTGTAATGTTAACGTTGGCCAACAGTCAGTGCGGAAGAAGCACTGGTCTATTCATGCACCATCACTATACAGTACAAGAATATGTTTGTATTCTGTGGTATGTCTGGTCATAGTCATTTTCACTTCTGACTGATTATTGTAAATCATTTAAATCTTTTTTTTTTTAAATTAAATTAAGACTAAAATACACAATGTTAAAATGGGCCTGTAAACTATTTTCTGATCTGTTATAATGTTGTTTCCTCAACACAAAGAAACGACTATTGTGTTTTGTTTCCTTTATGTTTAACACATAAACCCTTAATATTTAGACTGTTCCACTTTGTGATGTCATGTAGTAATACCTGAGGTGCTCCACTGTGTTTTTAAACTCCATACACCTTCACTAGAATCGTTTGGATCATTTCAGTCCTGGAATTGCTGATCTCTAGTGAACTAAAAGTAAAAAGTAGCTGTTAACTTGAAAACTACCACTTCATGACATCACAAGGTGGAACAGAGCATTTTGAGCTTTGGAAATGTAGACAGACTAATAATAAACATGTGTGAATAAAACAAACACAACTCCAGGTCTGTTTTTGATGAGGTAACATTATTACAACATGGATTAAAGTTCACAGGTCAATTAATGTAAAACAGGACCTTTAAACTGTTGCACAAATGTATTACAAAAACAAAGCAGCTACTAAACCGTCACTAATGTTTTCTACTTCTTCACAGACATCACGCATTGTCCAGTTCCCCAAATTAATTGTATTGTGGTATCTGGTGGAAATTGTATTGTTTTGCCTGGAACATTCCACAGTGTGCCATTAAGCCATAGACTGTATAAAGAAATGGACTGAGGTGAGAAAGTGTTGGGCTCCAGTCAAATGAAGCTCATCGAGACCTACAGTTATATGAGTGAGTTTGGAGCAGAGTTCCATATTAAGGATTATAGGAATTTAGCAAAATAAAAACCCCAGGATCATGTAGAATGGGTTTATACAAACATTTTCAGATAAAACTGATGAGGCTCACAGCAGCAGTTACAGAGTGAGGTGACCATTTTTCAGTGTAAGTCAATTTTATATGGAATGCGGCGGCAGGTTGGGCGTGTCCATTTATATATACATTCTATGTATTAAACGTATTATTTTGATGGAGACCAGCAGGTGGCACTAACATGCAAAGTTACAGGTGAGATCTGTGGAGAGGCGATCCTGCACACAATAAAAATGCATGTTTTCAATGTAGTTTTAGTAATAAAACACTGTATTAAATAAATGCACGATAGAGTACAGGACACTGACTGCAGATTTTGTGGAGTGGTCCCAGGCAAACTATCTGCTCTTGAACTTTGACAAGACCAAGGACCTGGTGAAGTATGAAAGAGGTGTGAGCGTGAGTGATGGTGGTGGTCGGAGATGGGGTCGGATGGCGAAGATTGGCAGCCTCGCTTCCGTCAGTCTGCCCCAGGGCAGCTGTGGCTACAGTAGTAGTTTACCACCACTGAGTGTGGAGTGACTGAATAATGAACTGTAAAGTGCTTTGAGTATCTTGAAAGGCGCTATATAAATGCTATCAATCAATCAATCAAGACTTCAGGAGAAAGAGGACACCAGTGGAGCCCGTTGTGGAAATAGTGACTGCTACAAGAACCTTGGTGTCCAGCAGACTGGACTGGAGGACAACTGTGATGCTGCACACACTAGAAGAGCATGAGGAGACTCGACTTCCTGAGAAAGATCAGGTCTTTCACTGTGTGGAGCAGGTTACTGGAGATCTTCTCCCAGTCTGTGGTGGCTGTGGTCTGCTGAGGGAGCAGCTCCAGATAAAGGGACACTGAGCAGATCGACAAACTGATCTGTAAAGCTGCTCGTGTGATCGACTGTGAGCTGGACACATTTGTCCCAGTGAGGGACACGAGGACACTGGACAAACTGCTCTCCATCATGGACACTCAGACTATAGAGGGACAGATAATACTCCCTACAACTGTACAACAACTCACCCACTGCACCAGACTATAGAGGCACAGATAATACTCCCTACAACTGTACAACAACTCACCCACTGCACCAGACTATAGAGGCACAGATAATACTCCCTACAACTGTACAACAACTCACCCACTGCACCAGACTATAGAGGCACAGATAATACTCCCTACAACTGTACAACAACTCACCCACTGCACCAGACTATAGAGGCACAGATAATACTCCCTACAACTGTACAACAACTCACCCACTGCACCAGACTATAGAGGCACAGATAATACTCCCTACAACTGTACAACAACTCACCCACTGCACCAGACTATAGAGGCACAGATAATACTCCCTACAACTGTACAACAACTCACCCTTATTGAACAGATAATCTGTGTTTCTGTCAATCATCATATCATCTTTACACTTTTCCTTATGACTTCTTGAATATAACTGTGATATACTATATTTATATGATACTATATTTATTTTTTACTTAAAAACATTTATACAATTGATGTCTTTTTATTGCTACTTATTTAGAAGTTTATCACATTTTTTTAAACTCTTTGTTATTATATTATTTTGTGATGTGTGAGCTCCTGTGTCCAAGTCATTTCCCTTGTGCATGAATAAAGTCTGTCTAAATCTAAATCTAAATCTAAATCTAAATCTATATCTAAGTCTAACTCTAAGTCTAAATCTAAATCTAAATCTAAATCTAAGTCTAAGTCTAAATTTAAGTCTAAATCTAAGTCTAAGTCTAAGTCTAAGTCTAGATGAGTTTAAAATCATGTGGAACCGTTTGTGAAAGTAAAGCAATAACATCTGAGGGACGGGACCCTCTATAAGAAAAGTGACAGTGAATCTTTGACGTTTAGCCTTAAAATCTTGAACTTGTTGTTATGAACTTCTGTTTCTCGTGAAAAGTGAGATTTGGTGTATTTTAAGACGCAATGAAATGTGCCTTTGTTCTATTTTCTGTGAACATTGCCTATATTTATACATCTCCCTTAACAGGAAATATTACACTTAGCTCTAATGTTGCAGAAAAGGGAACTACAGTGTCACTCTGAGCTCCGTGTCACATGAAGACAGTCACTTTTACGACTACACCTCCCTTCTACGGTAAGAACTATTATTCATGTTGAACGTTTTTTAACCAAGCTAGTTACATTTTGCTCATTTCTATTTTCAGATTATGGATGTGAATAGCACGTGTGTCTCTGGTCATAACAGCACCTCATGCTCCAACCCGGGGTCTCAGACAAAGCTAGCAGCTGGTTTATCTGTCTTTTTCATTCTCTTGGTTCTGGGAATAGTGGCTGGGGTTTTTTCGTACAGACAGTTTGGAAAGCTCCGGAGAGTGTTGAGTTTTGGATCGAGGAGGAGGATAGAGAAACAGAGAGAAGTGTGCGGAGAGGCGCCGCAGACGGTGAAGGAAAACCACGAGTACAGCTGCAGACCGGAGCTCTACAGTCCACCTGCGCCCATTTATGAGAACGTGAACCGGGCATCACCGAGGCCCGGGGCCATGCCTGCCAAAGCACGCAGGTACATGAATTTAAATGTAACTCAACTTCATTTAAAGGTGTATTGTGTAACTTTTCTGATAGAAAGTCCGTCAAATATTTTTCTCTGTGAATATGTCACTGCTTTACCTCGAATGTTCCATAGTGTGACATTAAATAGCTCTGCCTTACATTTATTCTATTACAGGTGCTTTTAGAGATCATAAATACTTTAAAAACAGACATTCTGACTGTGAGCGTGTGCACGTGTGTCCCTCTCCACTGATCTGACTCATAGCTTGGTCTAGTTTGGTCTCCATGAAGACAGAAATGTATAATACCATACAGAAACATTCCAAACAAAGGAATAACATCTGCATGGTGAAAAGTTACACAATGCACCTTTAACTTAATTTAACTTGTGCACTGTGTAACATTTCTAGTGGATGGTCCGCCACTCGCCTGTCTCCATGGAAATGTTAGTGCTTTGCTTTTAAACCTGCCTATCATGAGGGACACAAGCAGGTTATAGTCAGTGTTGGGAAGTTTACTTTTAAAATGTATTCCCCTACAGATTACAGATTACAGACCCCAAAATGTAGTTTGTAAAGGAATCCATTAAATTACTTAAAGTGAGTAACGTAATCTGAATATTTTAGATTACTTGGTTTGCTGTAGAGAAACAAAGACGAGGATGTCGTAACATAAGATGTTTTGTCTGATAAAGACAATAAAAAAGCCCAGACTTTATTAAAAATATTATTAATAAAAGAGGATGAGACACGGTCCACGCAGCATGATTTAGTTAAATACTGTTTTAGTCCTGGTTTAGACCTAGTTTTAGTTCTGGTTTAGTCCTGGTTTAGATCTAGTTTTGACCTGGTTTAGTTTCCAGCAATGAGTGAAATTTCCGAGAAGAAAAAAAAAAAAGATTACGAATTACGTAACTGGTACATGTAATCCGTTACTCCCCAACACTGGTTACAGCACTACACTGCATTACAGGTCAGATCTGTGGAGAGTCGCCTCTATTCACAGAAGGAGTTATTGTATTTTTGATCAACAGAAACCCCTGTAATGAATAAATGTCAGAACATGAATATGTTTAATGTCATGTCAAAGCAATAACATCTCCATGGAGCCAAGCAGGTAGCAGACC